AAAAAAATAAAGTGGTCTTGCATGGTCCAGCCCAGGGGGATTGTGTTTCCAGCTATTCTCTATGTGCCCTGAGCTGACAGAGTAGGATTTTTTTTTTTGAATCCCCAGTTCTGCCCTTCTCCTGCCCTCCTAATGGACCCAAAGCCCTGCCTTACTTTTCTGTGATGAAGTTGTTTTAATGTTTTTTTTGCCAGTGACCAAGGCTGGTGTCTACTGCTTGTCAGGCATCCTACTGTGCTACAAGGAAAGGGAGATATTCCTTCCTACATTTATGCTGATGACAATATTCTTCCTAATTGCTCTTACCAGATTTTTTTCTAGTCTTTTCAGTTATGATTATATGTGATTATTAGAATCATTTGTTTCTATACAATCTCACTGCAGCAAATTTTTCAGTTTAATTATATGTTGTTTCAAAGATTTCTTTCTGTAAAATTCAAAGCAGGATGTGTATTATCAATATTGTTTTTATTTAATATGCAGGATGGATGATTTAGTTTCTTGAGGGTACTGTTTGGTTTATGTAAGTGTGTTTCTCTCCCACATAAGGCAGAGTGACACAAGCTAAATCTGAAGTGGTTAAGCTGCAATGTTGGAAATTCAAAGCTTAGTCATATAAGACAGTATTATAACTCATACACTGAAGGAGGCCCCACTGAGATTCCAGGGACAGTCTTAGGTCAAACATTTACTGGCCCTTGAATGCCTGATTTGGTAGAGCCAAATTTCTTTTAATGTTTTTAATTTTGAGAGGGCTGTGTTTTGTTTTGTTTTGTTTTGTTTGTTTGTTTGTTTTTTTAAGAGAACAAAATATGCTAAGTCCCATCAGGAGGCATCTGCCTCTTCCCTTTTTTACGGTTTGCCCAGCAGGTCCCAGCTCTTCCCCAGTTCCTTGTCAAAGCTGTTTCCCCTCCACACGCACACTGGTTCCTGCTGTGTCTCCTGGTACAGCCAGTCCCTGTCTCCTCTCCTCCCTCAACACTTTCTTTCGGTCAACATGACCTCCCTGCTCCTCCATACACTCCTGCATGGGGACGTGGCTGACAGAGATGCTGGCAATTGCTTTGTGCTCTGCCCCCAGTCTTTTCCTCTGTTTCTTGACTCCCAGTCTCCAGTCAGATATTTCTCTATTCACCACTAACCTCCAGCCACAGCTCCATATCCCCAGTCTGATTCCGGTCCTGTGGTCTGGCACAGCTTTTGTCTGCTGTTCCTTTCCTGCTGCTGGGAGTGCACCAACAAGCTCAGTAGGACCATGAGGAAGCAGCTTCCTTGACATCCACCGCCCTTGGCCCACGGCCACCCACAGGCGGTGAAGTGGGTCCTGTTGTTCTGTGACCAGGTCTCTTGTGAAATCCTGTCGCAGGCAACTGCGGAGGGTTTGAGCATCTCTGTGAGAATGGGATCTGGCTGCTCCAGAGTGTCTGTACTGTGTGCAGACTGCTTCTTCCATCTAAAAGTGAATGTTTTTACTTGATTTGGTACGATTTTCACAGGGGTGACAAACAGCTCTCTTCCCAGGAAGGTGACTCCTTGCAGACTAGAAGCCCATGTGGCTATAGATCTCTGAAAATGCTTCTGTCTTTATTTTTAGTAATCAATGTCTTTTCTTCTAGCTTCAGTTTTAGAAATGGATCAACTGGTTTTGGCTTGGGTTTTTTGGTTTGGTTTTTTTGTTGTTGTTTTGTTTTGCTGTTATTAAAGGCAGAATATGATATGAGAACTGTCTACCTTTACAGTTAAAGTTTGTAAAATTGAAATAGCTTGTCAAAATGTTTTGATACTGTAAATGCAAGTCCAGGTTGTACTATTCCTTGAGATTGGTTTCAGTGAATTCTAAATGTCATTTTATTACCCTAGTGCTAGCAGGGCCATGTTGTAAACTAAGACTAAGTAGGGCATTAAGCATGGTCTGAACAGATACCAAAAAGATAGTCCTTGCCCTAGAGAAATTGTGATTAAAATGTAAAATAAACTAAGTCAATGTAGATGGATGAGGAGAATAAATTATACTTGCAAGCTCTTAGGGTGCTGGGAGCTTGCCTACAAAAGATTGATATTGCAGGACAGAAGTGTATAAATGATCAACACTTGACAATGTTTATTGTGAGTGTGAGGAGTAACATGAGAGAAGGCAAAAAGGGTGCTTACTCAAAAGAACAACCCATGGGCAGTGGTGTCTGGCAGTATTTGTTGACTGGCTATCAGAGCTGACATTTCAGTATTGATTGAAAGGTGATAGGTGAAAAGCCCTGAAAGTGCAACAAGGAAACCTTATTTATTGACCACAAGAGAAAGAGTCAGTGGAGGGATGCACATCATTACAAATCCCCCCCCCACCCCCACCCCGTGCTGGTACAGAACCGACTACGCTCATCTCATCCCCAGCAATGCCTGTCCGAAGTGGTCTTGGAGGCTTCCATTGCTGCGACACTGGATTCTCTCCAAGACAGCCTATCACTAGCTTTACAAGCTCAAGGGTTTTATTAATGCTTATCCTGAGCCTCCCTTGCTACAATTTAGGTTCATTACCTGCTGTCATATACACCTTCAAGGTGGAAACAGCATGGTGCTCCTGGGTCATGTTCAACTTTTAATCTATGGATCTTTTTCTGCTGAACTGCTGTTAGTCTCTCACTCTGCGCCCTGGATCTGCGCAGTGGACTGTTTCTGATTAAATATGGAATTTTGCATTTGCTGTGGTATAAATTGCATTTACTGTTCATATTTTTCTATATTAATACAGCTCACGCAATCAGTAATGAGAGAAGCTGATCAATTATTACTTCATGGATAAAAAAATACTTTCATTTATGTACGTTCATATTGAAGAGTAAATCCGTTGGTTTGCAAGACCCTGCTAAGTAAGTGGTTTAGAGCGGTGTTTAAACTACAGATGCTTTTCCTGATGGTTGTGCACATGTAAAATAGAAGTGGCGCTTTCACAAAAGCCTTGTCTCTTGCCCCTTGAAGTAAACGGGAGGCTTTCCATTGATTTCAGATTTCAGACTGATTTTCAATCTATTAGCTCATACCCTAAATATGCCACAGTGCTCAAGTGTTTTTCCCTTTGTGTACATTGCGTAGCATGAACAAGCTTTGGTTAAACAAGACATTTTTCCCTTTTAAGGTCCCCATGCATAGTGGGAAAATGGCACTTTGGTTTATACACTTTTTGTCTTTCTGATTTCAGCTTCCCCCCCCCCCCCCAAAATATCTCTTCGTGGAAGTTTTTTGAGTTAAGGATGCAGCAGGAGATGTATTAAATAAATGCAGTGGGACAACAGTTTACAATAGACTGGAATTAAGTTTCTGATCTCAGATGACTCAGCGGACTTCATATGCTGTTGCGACTGCTAATGTCTAACCCTGCCATTTATTTACAAAAAGCCTGTCACAGAAGGAGTGAAACTAATAAAGCTGTGAGGGATTCTTCCTCCCTGATCTCTTAATCCGCTTTTAATTCTTAAACCATCATTGCAGGAAGACAGACTTTTAACTCTTCTAAAGGTTTCCGCTGTTCAGATTCAAAAAGTTTGGGGGAATCATTAAAAATGAAGACTAATCTTATTCCAATGAAGTTGAACAGGCAGATTTCTATAATTAAATAAGAGATTAAATTCATATTCCAAACTGCAGCGCTAAAAAGAACCACTGAAAATGCAGCACTGTTACAGTGAGTACAAGACTGAACAGGCTTTGTAAGAACTAAGTAAACTGTTACACAAATGATGTGCTTGTATGCTCCTTTCTGCACTCAATATCTTTCTGGCTGAACAGGCTGCACTATAAATATATCTCCTGCCTTCTTCTTCCATTGTCTGTACATACACATACTTTTATAGTTATGGGAACAGATATCTCAGTTGTCTGAAGTCTATTCTGCAATTGTGGCTGTGATGGAAAAGAAGTTTCCTTCTTCTTATCTCCTGTCTGGTGTATTATTGTTATGTTGTTACTACTACTACTACTACTACTACTACTACTACTACTACTAGCTTATATCCTGGTAGCAGCAAGGGTTTTTAATCACAGAACTATGTATTTGCTCTTTCCCAAAG